TTTAATACTAGTATAGTATTATACTATAATATATATGAAATATAGCATGTGATGTATTTAACTTCATTTTCTTGGCGTTGTAGAAAAGTTTGTGTTTTCATTAACTCGACCATTGACTCAGCAGGAGATTTGTGTTTTTAATAAAAAGTCTCAGACAGATCACAGACCTTTTCAGAGGAGACTGACACTTGTCCAGACAGAAGGACAGTGTGAGAGTCTTCTTCAGTTTGGCATTGGTGAGAGAAGAGAGCAGACGAGTGAAGAACACAGACGACAGAGAGTCAGGAGAACAAAGAAATAATAAAAAGCCAGAGTGAATGGCTGTAGAATGAGATGTTTCCACGGTTGCCAACCAGACACTGAGCTGCAGTGAAGCTCCCAGTCCATCTGCTCCACTGCAGCTCAGCTGCTTAACTAGGTAGTTGGCATTTTATGGCCATATGTCACATTGGCTCAGTCCACTCAGGCGATCACTGACTGAACATGTGACCTGGAAATGAGTGAATACTTTACTTCTCTGTGTACGTCTGTCTGTGTGTGTACCTTTTCCCTTGTTAGTACTTTGTTTCTGAGCTAACTTTCGACTGTCTTGTCATTTATCTCCAACTTTTCATTAAAAGTGCCATCTTGTAAACATTGTTAGCACTAGCGGCTATTTAAACTCACAATGTTTTTGTTAATTTCTTAATTTCTTCTTGTTTCTGTCTTCTTTCTTATTACTTCCCTCTCCTTTTAGCTTTTCCCTTAATTACTTTTTAAAGGAACGACCTGAGGGTACGGAGTTTCTCTAATTTTGTTTTCGATGTCTACCTTGGAGTTTTCACTTAATTAATCATTTCTGAAATAGCATGATCTGCATGGTTAATGAAACGACAGGAGCTGCTGCAGCCCAGTCCATTTAAACCTCAGGTGATCTGACCTTTTGAAGAGAACTCTACATCGTTCTCAAGTTTTGTAAACACATAATACAGACATTAGTACTACTATTATTTAAGAAATCCCGAGTAGAATAGTGTGTTATTATCCTTCCACACAGAGCACTTTGTTTGTACGTTGGTGTTCTTTTTGGTTAGTTGCTTAGATATTTGATTGGATGAGATTAGGAAGTCCCGCCTCTTCTACTCCATCACCATAACGAGCAGGTGAAGTTAAATCATGAGCAATTAAAATAAAATAAAGAATTAAATATAAATATACCCCTATAGTCTGTAGTAGTGACCGTATACTGTGAGAACTAGATCCTATTTTGTCATACAGTTACATGCGTTTAATCAGTAGGCTGACATATAAGGTATATATATATAGTCTGTTCAATATGTATGTAAATATATATGCAACATTTTTAAAGTAGGTGGCTGTTAATGTCTTCATATATATTCTAGCAGCAGCACCGTGTGTCCCTGTCTCTAACCCTGACCCTCTGATCCAGATCCTAGTCCTATAGTCAACTTAGTATCCCTGTGACCGTCACCCTGGTAACAGATTTATCACTGGTATTAATCAGCAGCAGCGCTCCAGTCCTCAGACACTGTCCACAGAGAACAGACACCCTCAGACCACAGGGACCTGGTCTTCATCATTAGAACACCTCGTTAGGACACGTTCTGCATCGTTCATTAGTGCAGAGATAAATGGGTGAGGGGGAAGAGAGGAGTGTGTCTCTGTGGTCGCAGTACGGCGGCCTTCTGGTGAGTACGCTGTACTTTTTGTACTATTGGTTTTTGAATATTTCTGTTACACTGGAGTCATCACATCAGAAGGTTCTGAATGTTCTGTCTCGACTGGAAGGCAGTGGACAGACTGGTCAGTGGAATCATCACCTCTTCAGACAGAGTGCAGTACTCACTTCCTTCATGTAGTAATTGTTATTTTACTGGTTTGTCTTTTTGCGTTCTGAGTTAACGTACCTGAACCTTGGCAACATGAAACAGTCCAACAACAGTTGACCAAGAATCCCGGTGTTCTGCTCTTTGCTACAGCAGAATGACTCACCTTGGCCAACTCTAATTAGTGTGAATGGAGGAAACCTCTGTGAATAGATTCTTTTGGTTCCTCACTGGCCATAAAAACATTCAAAGAGAATGACATTTAGAAACAAGACCATGAAACACTTCCTCCTTTGTCTTAACTTTTATGATGCTAAAATGAGAGGACGGCCTGTTTGTCCTTCACCATCTTTGGTCCTTGGATATGTTCCTTCTTCAAAGCTCCAGACGAGGTCTCATTAGGTTTTAAAAAGCTGGCTATTTTAGAATCTCCCTTTCAAGTATTCTAGTATTTCACTCTGTGCTGTACTCCTGTACAACACACTGTTGTGGCTGAGGATTGAGTTCTCTCTCTCCCCACAGCACGTTATTTTCCACAGTCACTCCTGATGAACGGCCTCTTACATTTCCTATTAAAATGTAACCGCCCAAATTAGACGATAAACACTGAACAAGTGTAGAACCTTCCAGAATCTCGACCTCAGCTCAGTTCAACTCCACTCCACTCTGCTGTGCGCAGGTTTCCCAGCCTTAGAAATGTCTCCCACAATAAGGAGAGCATTTGTGGCCATAAGCATCACTCAGCCTCGTTATCTGGACGGCGTGTGCGCCTCCTGGAGGACAACTAATATCTAACAGTTCAGTTCCTATTGAAAAACCTGCTGCTAATGCACTTTTCTGCTACTCTTCCCCCAGTACTGACCTGAGTGTGGAAGAATTTCTATGGTGTGACTAAAACTAACAAAAATAACTGAACAGAGTTCGATCACAGCTGAAAGTGTTGAGGAAGAGTCTCTACAGATGAGGCTGTGATGCAGTACTCCTGGTGAACTGATCACAGGCTCCTTCAAACAATACACAGGTTCCTATGTTTTTGAACTGTCAGAGATCTGACGTCAGGGTCAGTGAAGTCCCGTCTGCTGGACTCCACAGCACCACAATCAGTCACTTGTTTTTCAATATGTTTATCATGAATATTTATAAAGTGCTCTGTTGTGCTCTGAAGGTGCTTTTCTCTTGGTTGAGCTGCTTCCAGCAGGGTGCGTATTTGTACACCAGTTTGTTTTTTTTTAATTGAGCTGCTTCCAGCAGGGTGCGTATTTATACTCCAGTTTGTTTGTTTTTTAATCCAATCATTTTTCTGCCTCATGTGTTGCCAGGGTGAAAATATATCTGCCCACAGACCTTCAGACTCAGCAGTGTGGGCACTGGGAGCCTAAAATCAGATTTTGAGTTGCCGACACAAAGGCCTTCTAGCTTGCAAACAGTTACATTGTTGATTTGAGTGATTTGATTGGATGGTCAAAGAACACACTGTATCTACCATACAGCATCTAGTGACACTTTCTCTGCGTCCACTGCGTCTGTGGAGCGAACTTTCTGAGCCTGAGTGAATTCAAACTGGTCTGAGTTCTGTCTCCTCTCCTGTCTGTTCTCTGTGTTAATCAGTGTCATCACTCTCACCTGTGATCACCTGTTCATTAGTCTCACTAGTGAGACTAATCCACTCTCACCTGTGATCACCTGTTCATTGGTGCCACCTGGTGCTGTGGGTTTGTACATCTCCCTAACTCCTCTAAATGTAACAAATCATTCCATAAATACGACAGGACAGACTGGACTGTCATCATCAGCATGGGTGGAGACAGAAAAGGACATGTTAGGACTGGAACACATGGACAATCTGTTCTACAGAGTCGTTGAACTCATCTTGAGGAAAGAGAGGAGGAGGGACTTTGTCTAAAAATGAACAGAAGTTTTGGTGAGTAAAATAAAGGATTCATACAGTTCTATCTATGACGCTGTCATGGCTGCATGAGTTATCATGGATGTGAGGACTCGTTATATTACATTACTTAATATTAATGTTTTTAATTGACTTGTGTCTAATGGCTAATGTTGGTCTGACTAAAGCAGACTCTGGATCATATAAGGGTTAGGGTACTCAGTATGGGTGAGTACACTAAAGGAAATACTCTCACTGTGGTATCTGGACAACAGCAGTTACATCTCAATGGAAGAATCA